TCAGTCATTGTCTTTTAACTCCACATATTCGTGCTCAATGGTAGCAAAAGCAATAAATTTTTCCTTGGGGCCATCCACAATCCAGCTCATTTGTCATTTTTAGATGGACACCTTGGGCAGATTCTCTCCAAGCAAAACAAATCAATACACTAAATGCATTCAAACAAGGATACTTGAAGGGGGGGAAGAAAAAGGTGCTGCCGCGAAGCAAATGATGGAGAGGAGAGGTATGCATGCTACAGGCTTGGCAAAGGCTGGGAAAATGGCAGCAAGTTTAATCTACGCCTTGGGAGCGAGGAAGGGATTGAGGATCAGGTGAAGGGAACTATAAAAGGGAGGATAGGGCTGAGAAGGAAACTGGAGAAAAGCCAAAGAGGTAGGCTTAGGAAAAAAAGAAGATAAAGTAGTGGATCTAAGATGGATCCCCAGGGTTGAAGAAGAGGAACCGATGAAACCAGTTACCGTGCCACAGACACTGTGCAGGTGTGGAGAATCTTGTTTCTAGTCTGCTTGATTCAGGACCGGTGTTCTGGACTTTGAAGCAGCTGCAGGATTTTATAGCCCGTATCACTTATGCTGCTATCATGGCTTTAGCATGGCAATAAATGTCACAAGAAAAGCAGCTCATGCAACAGCCCAGCTCTTGGAAATGGTGCAGAAACAAAAAGAATCTCTTATGTCTGTTTTTATAGAAGTAGATGATATAGAAGGTAGGGTTTACTTTCTTTGTAAGCATTAAATTTTAGTCACTGGTGGGGGTTAGTTGTAGGACTGGTTGAAGTGGGTGTCAGTGTTTTATTTTTTATTTCAAAATGTTTATGCTTGATGGTAGCAAAAAGAATATGGTTTTCTGTGGGGTAATCAATCCAGCTAACTTGTAATTTTAAATGGACACCTGAGACAGAGTCTGCTGCAGCAGAGCCGACCAGTACAGTCAGTTGGACTAAGTGCATTAAAACAAATACACTTGGATGGGAGAAGAAAAAGATGTCACAGGAACAGAAATGATACAGAATAAAAGAAAGGAGTTACATGCAACAGCCAGGGAATCAGGAGGGATGGGAGGCTTTGTCTTCACATGCTAGAAATAGCTGAACTGATCCACCAAGATCATCATTAAACCAGCTTCAATAATGTGTTGTCATCAAAAAGAGGAAATTACCTCCACTCCCAAAATGAGTAGACTATGGAAGGATGCTTATAGATGGCTCACAAGGCTGCAGCTGGTTTCTTGTTCTCCTTTCTTTATTCAAATACCAAAGATACTGTAATTCATCAAGATCATTATGAGAAAAGGAATCAGAGGTGCATTTAGTTTTTTACATTATGTGAATCTGAATCCTAGAACAATAAGCAAATGGTGGCAAAGTGGTTCAAGTGTCTCACTGTGATTCCAGAGCTCATGTCTCTGGCAAACCCATCCTGCAGGGTGTAGGATGATCCTTGGCTGTAGCTGATCACACAAGTCGGACAGGTGATGGGAGCGGGATTTCAGTGCTGTTGCTTTTATGTATGTTTCTGAGTATGTGCTAGCTCCACTGAGCAGTCTAGGTTTGGCAAGAACTCCATCAAAACTACAAAACAAGCGGTGCCAGTACGCTTGAATTTGAATGGAAAGGTAGCCCTGAGACTGGAGGGCTACTAATTTCTGAGGGCTGGGAAAAGCCCCCCTGAGAAAGTACTTCTTCCTTTTAGAAGAAGCAGGGATATACCATTCTTTCACCCACAGTGTCATCTCTAGACAAAACCCTCTTTCTGTCTTTGCTTTGGGAGGGAACTGAGGAATATGATTTAGGGACAGCCAGCAACATCCTGCTGTATCAGCTGCAGGCAAAGCCAGATCTGCGTTTCCGGAAAGAGGAGAGCAAGCTGGTGGAAGGGGAAAAGAGGGAGACGCGGCCGTGTTGCGGGAGTTTTTGCAGGCGGATGGTTGCTCCCAGCACGACCTGCCCCCCCGCTGGAGCCTGTCCAACAGCGGCAGTACATGAGCCGGGCTGACAAGAAGGGACGGCACCCCGGGGCCCCCCTTCCCGCGCCCTCCTCCCCCGGCGGCACCCCTCGCTAGGCACAGCCTCACCCCGCACCCCCCGGGCTCCCCTCCACATCTCTTGGTGCGGTAACA